TAGGGAAAGTTTCCAGACAAATATGAAATTTCTGTTTCATCTATGTCCTATAATATACTTTAAATCAGCTTCATGCTAATAATTAAAGCAGTACTTTTGATATTTGGAGCTCTGCATTCCATTTCCACCCCAATAAGGTTAAGCGGAAAAATGCACAAAATCCATAATGCAACTGTAATATCAAGCTAACAAAATAAATTCTATATTTTGTAAGTCCACAAGAGTTAAATCCCTGAACAAGAAATAATGAAAGTAACCTATTACTTATTAAAATATTTTAAGGAATTTACATTATTCTTTAAAGCAAGAAAATAATACCATTATATATACTGCAACTTAATCATACTGAGCCGATATGCTTAATTCAACAAACACTTGGTTCCACAAAGACTTTGTTAGGCTACTACCTGCCTTTATCACACAAAGCTATTTCAGATCTCAGGTTAGCCCATAACACAACCTAATTTCTGATAAAATGACTTATCTAATAAACTTCACTGAGACTAAAACTGATCTTCAAATCAAGACCCAGAAAACACTAGAAAGATCAACAAGTATTTTTTAATGCTCTCTACAATTACCAAAAAAAATCAACTCATTTACTCATTCTTTGCTCTATTTCCAACTTTCTCACTTACTTAAGGAGAATCTTAAGTAAATGATGAGTCATATCTGGTAACAAGTTTTTAAGAAGTAAGGAGGAAAAATACCAACACCCTCATCAAGCATTAATATTTTAACTTACAAAAATCCTGGATATAAACTGTATAGTCCATATAAACATTCAAATATATCCAATACTTTAATACAAATATACTCAAAAATCTAACCTCATATATCTTTAGCAAAATCCAAATGAAAACACTGATATGAAAGTATCTATTTAAGAAACTGAATATAACATTGAGTCAAGTATTTTATCTTATTCTCTATCACTAAATTATCTGTAACTAGACATCGATACCATTTTAACATAAATGTATAGCTGTAGTATAAGAATACATAGCAAAATGCATAATTGAATATATGAATAAAACTTACTGTCATCCATCTGGAGACTTGGTGGGCAGTAGAATTTTTTATGGGTAATTAAATTTGGTAATCCTCTGAAGAGACTGCGGCATAATTTACATTCAAAAATAGTGTCCACATCTTTTAATAAAATATGCTTAAGTTGTTTAGTTCCTGAAGGAAAAAAGAAAGGAAAACTTAACACAAAAGGTAACTTTAACATGCAGTTTTAAACTGGGCAACCACTGTTGACAATCCAAAGGTGCAGTTTTACTCTTTAAAAACAAAGTACGGGCATTGCCAATGTCTACCACACTATACTCAGAACTAAGTTATAAACTAAGTTCTAAGCAAAATTCTACTATCATTTGGATATTAGGACAGCTGAAATTGATGGTCTTTTTCTAATTCAACAGCCAATCAATTCCTGGGCTATCTTAACAGTGGTTCCAACATCTGGTTGACCATCACGATGACCGAGGAATAAAGAGGTACATGACCCACTCCTGGAGATTCTGATTCAATAGACCTGGAGTGTGAACAGAAGAATTAAATGCCACCCCAACCCAAGTTTTTGGCTGGTTCTTCCAGCTCTCTTTCACATTAGGAAGTAAACATGAGTAATACACTTTCCCCGATTCCTTAAAGAAGGTCAAAACTGTGTCACAGGATTGTCTGTGACTTTCTTTTTAAATTCAGCTTACATTACTTCGGGTTCTGGGGCAACGTGGGATTATGGCCATTCAGTGTGAGAGTAAAGAATCCTTGTCCACAGTTTTGAATTTTGCTTAGGTCTCTTAATACCACTAGAAATTTATTCAAAGCCTTTCTCCCTCAAAAACTCACCCTAATTGCAATAAATTAAATATTGATATAATTACTACTTTAAAGCCTGTCTTTTCCACTAGATTATAAATTCCAAGGCAGCCAAGACCAAGCCTGCCTTATTTACAGCTACAAAGTGTTCAGCTCTAATAATGCTCAATAAATATTCGTTGAAGAATTGCCACTGATCTACAGAATCTAAGCATTATTATGATGGAAGATCAAAAGGCAGAGAAAAAATAAACAGCAACAAGCACTCTTTAAATCTTTAAAATAAAACACAAATAGAAGCTCTTCTGTCACTACTTCCTACAGGTCTTTGACACAGGTAAATTGACAAAAGTGATCTGCAGTGTTCACTAATTAAGGAGCCTTTGGTTTCCTCAAAAAATGATAATAATATTGACTTAAATTAAAGAAGGGAGGGCTTCCCTGGTGGCGCAGTGGTTGGCAGTCCGCCTGACGATGCAGGGGATACGGGTTCGTGCCCCAGTCTGGGAGGATCCCACGTGCTGCGGAGCAGCTGGGCCTGTGAGCCATGGCTGCTGGGCCTGCGTGCCCGGAGCCTGTGCTCCGCAACGGGAGAGGCCGCGGCGGTGGGGGGCCCACATACCGCAAAAAAAAAAAAGCGTCCTGAAAAATACCTAAGACTATCTAGGTGCACAGTGTTCCATCATTCAACAAGCGTGACTATTAAGCTCCAAGACTACTAGAGAATAAACACCATCTCATTAGCATAATTAATACTGTAGGATCCATAAAGGTTAAGCATTTCTGATTCAATCTTATGCAATCTGTTTATATTTAATTATTGTACTAATCATCATGTTGCATTTTATCATTTTGAAAACAAGCCAGCCCTCAAATTTCTACTGCAACAAGATTACCACATTATCAGAACTTTACTAAGTCTTTAGAGATTCCAATTTTGATTATCACCTAGTCATGTGACCTTAAAGGGCTATATAATCTTTGCACCTTGGTTTATTCATCTTTTAAAACAAACAAACCAAACCTATCTTGGAGAATTATGAAAGAAAATATGAACCTAAATTCTAGAAGAACTAAATTATAAATCCAGGTTTCTACTGATAAAAAAAAAATATATATATATATATATATATATATATAAAATAACTTCTACTATTTCCCAATCCAACTCAAGGTTTAATTTGGTCCACTAGACCATACTACTGCAAAATCAGAAAACACACATTTTTAAAGACTCAGAGGATAGCTTGGGTATTATACTTTGTATAAAAGTAAGTTCTCACACACACACGCACACACACACACACACACACTTCTCTAGTTTATTTCACATTACAAAATATATTGCAATAAAGTGCTAATGTATTTAGTTCATAGTTAATCTCATAAGTCACTGACAAACTATGAGAGGTAGGCTGAAGATAAAAAAACACTTTAGATAAACCTCTCCAAGTGATCTACATATAGTTCTCCGTAAGTGTAGGTGGGTGTGTTACCAGACGGAAGAAAACATGGGAAAATTCTGCACTTTAATTATAAATTAAAAGACCAGCTAGACGCATACTACAAATTCAATTCTGTCTCTAAAGGTAGTTAAAAAGGACTGAAGAGGGACACAGAAATAATCTGAACTAGGATTAGCTTAAGAATTCTACTGAAGATATAACTAGAACGTACAACATGAAGTTATACATAAAAAGTTATTTGTAAAAACGTAAAACTGCATCTCTAAATCAGGTTCTCTCAATCAACCATAAAAAAACAAAAACAGTATCAATTTCTTCTCTAGTCCCAGTTACACAGTTATATTCAGTAGAGAGCATATATTTATGCACAGTAAGCACCCCCCCCCCCAAAAAAAACGAGTTGGGGCTAACCTTGACTCATCAATCTTTTTTTTTTTTAACATCTTTATTGGAGTATAACTGCTTTACAATGGTGTGTTAGTTTCTGCTGTATAACAAAGTGAATCAGCTATACATAAACATATATCCCCATATCTCCTCCCTCTTGCATCTCCCTCCCCCCACCCTATCCCACCCCCTAGGTGGACACAAAGCACTGAGCTGATCTCCCTGTGCTATGCGGCTGCTTCCCATTAGCTATCTATTTTACATTTGGTAGTGTATATATGTTCATGCCACTCTCTCATTTTGTCTCAGCTTACCCTTCCCCGCCCCCATGTCCTCAAGGCCATTCTCTACCTCTGCGTTTTTAATTCCTGTTCTGCCCCTAGGTTCTTCAGAACCATTTTTTTTTTTAGATTCCATATATATGTGTTAGCATACAGTATATGTTCTCCTCTTTCTGACTTACTTCACTCTGTGTGACAGTCTCTAGATCCATCCACCTCATTACAAATAACTCAATTTCATTTCTTTTTATGGCTGAGTAATATTTCATTGTATATTTGTGGCACATCTTCTTTATCCATTCATCTGTCGATGGACACTTAGGTTGCTTCCATGTCCTGGCTATTGTAAATAGAGCTGCAATGAACATTGTGGTACACGACTCTTTCTGAATTACGGTTTTCTCAGGGTATATGCCCAGTAGTGGGATTGCTGGGTCATATGGTAGTTCTATTTTTAGTCTCTTAAGGAACCTCCATACTGTTCTCCATAGTGGCTGTATCAATTTACACTCCCACCAACAGTGCGAGAGGGTTCCCTTTTCTCCACACCCTCTCCAGCATTTATTGTTTGTAGATTTTTTGATGATGGCCATTCTGACCGGTGTGAGGTGATACCTCAACCTCATTGTAGTTTTGATTTGCATTTCTCTAATGATTAGTGATGATGAGCATACTTTCATGTGTTTGTTGGCAATCTGTATATTTTCTTTGGAGAAATGTCTATTTAGATCTTCTGCCCATTTTTGGATTGGGTTGTTTTTTTGATATTGAGCTGCTTGAGCTGCCTGTATATTTTGGAGATTAATCCTTTGTCAGTTGCTTCATTTGCAAATATTTTCTCCCATTCTGAGGGTTGTCTTTTCACCTTGTTTATGGTTTCCTTTGCTGTGCAAAAGTTTTAAGTTTCATTAGGTCCCATTTGTTTATTTTTGTTTTAGTTTCCACTTCTCTAGGAGATGGGTCAAAAAGGATCTTGCTGTGATTTATGTCATAGAGTGTTCTGCCTATGTTTTCCTCTAAGAGTTTTATAGTGTCTGACCTTCCATTTAGGTCTTTAATCCATTTTGAGTTTATTTCTGTGTATGGTTTTAGGGAGTGTTCTAATTTCATTCTTTTACATGTAGCTGTCCAGTCTTCCCAGAACCACTTATTGAAGAGGCTGTCTTTTCTCCACTGTACATTTCTGCCTCCTTTATCAAAGATAAGGTGACCATATGTGCGTGAGTTTATCTGTGGGCTTTCTATCCTGTTCCATTGATCTATCTTTCTGTTTTTGTGCTAGTACAATACTGTCTTGATTACTGTAGCTTTGTAGTATAGTCTGAAGTCAGGGAGCCTGATTCCTCCAACTCCATTTTTCATTCTCAGGATTGCTTTGGCTATTCGGGGTCTTTTGTGTTTCCATACAGATTGTGAAATTTTTGTTCTAGTTCTGTTAGTGTATAGGAATGCCAGAGATTTCTGTGCATTAAGTTTGTATCCTGCTACTTTACCAGATTCATTGATGAGCTCTAGTAGTTTTCAGGTAGCATCTTTAGGATTCTCTATGTGTAGTATCATGTCATCTGCAAACAGTGACAGCTTTACTTCTTCTTTTCCGATTTGGATTCCTTTTATTGCAATGGTAAATGGGAGTGTTTCCTTAATTTCTCTTTCAGATTTTTCATCATTAGTGTATAGGAATGCAAGAGATTTCTAGGCATTAATTTTATATCCTACTTTACCAAATTTTATAGCTAAATTACCAAATTCACTGATTAGCTCTAGTAGTTTTCTGGTAGCATCTTTGGGATTCTCTATGTATAGCATCATGTCATCTGCAAAGAGTGATAGTTTTACTTCTTTTCTGATTTGGATTGCTTTTCCTTCTTTTTCTTCTCTGATTGCTGTGGCTAGGACTTCCAAAACTGTGTTGAATAATAGTGGTGAGAGTGGGCAACCTTCCTGATCTTAGTGGAAATGGTTTCAGTTTTTCACCACTGAGAACGATGTTGCCTATGGGTTTGTCATATATGGCCTTTATTATATTGAGGTAACTTCCCTCTATGCCTACTTTCTGGAGTTTTTATCATAAATGGGTGTTGAATTTTGTTGAAAGCTTTTTCTGCATCTATTGAGATGACCATATGGTTTTCCTCCTTCAATTTGTTAATATGGTGTATCACACTGATTGATTTGCATGTATTGAAGAATCCTTGCATTCCTGGAATAAACCCCACTTGAT